ATAAATATAGGTTACTTTAAATCCTCCGAGGAGCAATAGCGGGCACATTGCTTTCCATAAACGAGTTACTGGGTTCGATTCCCAGTCGAGTCAATTTAAGAAACAAACCTTTCTGAATTGTCCTGGGTCTGGGTATTCTGGTTCGGTCCTTTAGATGTTTGTAACATGGTTCTTCATAATTCTCTAGCTTGACAACATTCATCATTGTTTCGCATAAAATAAGCAACTTCAATTATAAATACGTATGAGAAGTATCGTAGTTTCGCTATATTGTTACACATATAAGTTTTCCTTCGGAACAAACATTTTTCTGTTATGCAAATATAAATAGCAGTATTTAATATCACATAATGAAAATAAGAACAACATGAGAGTATTTATACTTTATTGTACACAAAAATTACATTGTTTTAATTTATTTTGAATAAAGATGTACAATGGACGAGCTTAACTTTGGAAGAGTTTTCCTCCAGCAAACCCTGAATGGAGAGGAAGCATTAATTATCAGCAGGCAATGTGTGTACAATAAGAGTAAAAATTTTATTAATTGAAAAACAAATATGTGAAAATCGATTCACAATTTTATGTGGCTATGATAGGCATCAGAATCGCCTATCATAGTCATATAAAAAAGGGAAAAAATTAAGATGTCCTTGTTTTCAATGTAACATAATAATAAATAATTTAATAAAAATATGACTCTGAATGCAGAGTAATGCATTAAGTTTTTTTGAAATATAGCTTAAAGACAGGGGTTCAAAATTTATGGTTTTTTTTTTATACAACTTAGAATGGCAAACAAGCTGACGGCCCACCTGATGGAAAGTGGTAACCGTCGCCTATAGACATGAGCAGTACCATGGACATAACAGAGTATACTGTTTCGCCTATGATACATCCCATGCGTTGCCATTCCTGAGGACTCAGGTGTTATTCCTCTGTACCCAGTAAATTCACGCCATATCCGACCCTTCAAACCAAAACACAGCCATGCAAACACAACTGCTTCACGGTTGAAACACGAATGGGACAGAGGTACCCAAGCAATCGACTTTTGTACAAAGTCTCCCCCTGGTATTTCTTTATTTTTTGTAAAGCCTCTCTTTAGTATCCCACTGCTGGACCAGACCTTCCTTAATTCTTTCATAACAGCTACCCTTAGATTATATAGGTCAAGTAATGTGTCAAAATTTTGTCAGCTAATTTGACGTTTGTCTGGCAATTTTTTTTTAACTCTTCTTTGCATAATTGTTTTTATTGGTGAAATAAATCAAGGTGATATAATTCATGTTTAAAATGAAAGGAAAATGGTTAAAAAAATAAATTTGACAGCTATGGTTTTTTTCTACATTAGACATTAAAGAGGTATCCAGACACGATCAACTTAAAGTGAAATTATTTTTTTATATAATTTTTGGGCATTTAATGTTATGATAGAAATTTCCACCATCAAGAAAACACGCTTTTTCAGTGTTACAAGTAATTGAATTCACCAGATCAAATGAAAGGAATAATTCCCCAATCAATGGACTTTTCAGATTTGAAATCGAAATTTTAGTTGTAATTGACTATATGTACAGCTAACACATTTACTACAGAAAACGATGGCAGAACTAAACGCGGAAGGTTCAATACCTCCAATATCCCGGAAAATGCTTGTATTTCCGCGTTTTCCTTTACAAGGAAATAATTTCTATATTGCTACACCTGTTGAATACAGTTCTAACAGTACATGGGACTGTTATTATCAAATTGTTGAAGAAAAAACCGTAATAATATGTATAAAACATTCTTTTTTAATGTTTCAAATTAGCTTGTATTTTTTGTGTATTTATTATTACTTATTATACCATACGGTAATAAATAAAACAAAAAATAGGTAATTATGATCGCTGGTAAAAGTTAATGACAATTTGTCTATAAAAGTGAACATAAAAAAATCATTGCGTTCAAAGTATTTTTTTTATACGACTTAGAATGGCAAACAAGCTGACGGCCCACCTGATGGAAAGTGGTGACCGTCGCCTATAGACATGAGCAGTACCATAGACATAACAGAGTATACTGTTTCGCCCATGATACCCCCCATACGTTGCCATTCCTGAGGACTCAGATGTTATTCCTCTGTACCCTGCAAATTCACGCCATATCCCACACTTCAAACCGAAACACAGCCATGCAAACACAACTGCTTTACGGTTGAAACATGAATGGGACAGAGGTACCCAAGCAATCGACTTTTGTACAAAGTCTCACTCTGGTAGGCAGAGGGGGTCTACCACGGAATGATTCATGTTTTTGTTTATACCGAAATCGGCCCAGTAAATGGAGCTTAACATATTGCTAATCACAAATCCTACCAAAAAAGTCGAAAGGAATATTTTAACAATTTTTGTATTTTTAAATGTTATGTATCATATACTTATACATATTATTTACTTTTAACATCAAATTTACGTATCTTTCAGCGTCGAAATTCGGAAAATATTTCATGGTAGGCTCTCTGGACTTAAAGGTTATTTTTAAATATCAAACGCCGTTCTCAAAGGGAGACGGTCTAATTATATTTCATAATTTATTTTTGCGCATAAAAGATTAAATTGTTATGTATCTTTGTGGAGTTTATACAAAAATGCTTTCGTGGGAGGTTAAGCATTTTCACCAAAGAAACGCATGAGAAATGTTGTCTTAGAAATACTGACGAATCGAAAGAATTATATAAGTATATAGGTATCATAAGCTACTTGAATTTTATTGTAATAATTGTAACATTGGTCTTGTCGTTTGGGGATAGAATGGGCCACTCCTCCTTCTTCCTTGGTTGTCGTAAGAGGCGACTAAGGAAACTTAATGATCAAGGGATGGACAGCAGTGATTCTCTTAAAGCATCGCCACTACAAGCTACTAACCACTACTAAGAGGGGGAAAGGGATTGTTGGTAATGGAGACTGAGAATCCCATTCCTAGTAATATACCCAACCAGGTCGACTTTCTCGCGGTTCCCCCTGGAAACTATCATGGTTAATTCCTGATGAATTCACCATGATGGGCTAAGTGGCCTGTTTTCATTCTCATCTATCACCCTTCACTGGTGCTCCGCCAGCGTATCCCGTTAGCGCAGACGGGGTTACCATACCATTTTCACCCCTCAAAAAAAAACCACTACTAAGAAACCCCATTTAATGGGGAGGCCTATGTCCAACAGTGGACAATTAACGACTAATATGATGATGTTGATGATGATGAATTGTAGCATTATCGTAAGATATTGAGTAAACTAGTACTTTATGTATTACAGAATTTGTACGAATTTATAATTGCACTCATATGTACTTAGTTTTTAAGTGCTAATCTTGTCAAGTATAATTTTTTTTTATTATTATTATTATTTTAAATAAAATTCACATATCCCCTCTTAAGGAGAGGAGATGGCGCATTAACTTCTAACAAAAGCACAATCGATCGGGGTTCAGGGCCCCAAGAAGAGAAACTGGTGTACAATGCGAGCAGTATTTAAGATGCTGGCTAAGATACAAAAAAAGTAGTTTAAGATAATGTTATTTATTATAAATGTCAAAATTTGATTTAATAATTTATATCTGGTACAAACTAATATATTTAAAATTTTGTAGGCCCTGGTTGCCTTAATTAAAGAATTTATTTATTATTATTATTAAGAGCACCGCTTTCTGCATCCTTCCCGGGATTGAACCATCTCGCATTCTTAAACGTCTGAGATATTGTTCTACACTGGTTGGGAGAAGACCATTCACCGATAGAACGATTGGGATGCTTTTAGTAGATGTCAACTCTCACATTTTGATCACCTCGTGAACCGAGATATTTTCTCTTATTCTTGGTTTTTAGGAAGTTCTCGTCATGCGTCGAGGTATTTTTGGTGGAAGTCACCATACCGATGACTTCCACCAAAAATACCTCGAGAGTACATGATTCATCATCACGATATCAGGTTTGTTCGCCTGTTAACCTTCAAGAAAAGAGCATATTCCTTCTTAAAAGGCCGGCAGCACCCCTGTCTTTGGTATTGTGGGTGATCATGGGCGGCGGTAGTCACTTACCATCAGGTGAGCCGCAAGATCGTTTGCCCCCTGTGTTGGAAAAAAAATCGAGCAACGCTTACTCGCTTGTAAAAAAGTTGATTTTTTTTTGGTATAATCTCTAAAATATATAATTAATTCCTAACGGCATTTAAGGAAATAGACAATTTAAATGTATTTAAGAAAAAAACAAAGGAATATTTGTCAGCCAAATGTTACTATACGTTACATGACTAATACAATGATAAATATTAGACATACAATTTAATTATTTTTATTGTCATTTTTACATTTTATTATTAATATTGACATTGTTTTTATTGTTATAATTTATTATTACACAAAAACTTACTTTAATTTTATATTGTACATGCCGATATGGTAGAATGTGGAATAATGGACATGTAAATAATATTTTCATCTAATATATGTACCCATATTCGTGCTTTAAATGATTTAAATTTGAATTTGAAAATTAAAAAAAAAACCCATTACATATACGTACACATTCACGCATGTACAGACATCATCTGTTTATGTCGCAGTAATAGTCTTGAGTTGCGCCGTTCTTACATTAATTTCCCTAAAATCGGATCACATTAATAATAAAATACTTCCCAGATAACATTTACAGACGACGATTTTTTTATTTATTTATGTAAAACAAATATTTACAGAAAACAATATCCCTCGTTTGCGAAGGCCATTGATTGATACGCGAAGAGATATTTTTATCCGAGTATGCATTCAAAAGCTTAAAAAACAATGAGATTACGCGGAACGCTTGTACAATTATCTGTCCAAATTAAATGTTCTTATATACATACAATACGACGGCCATATATCGTTCATAATGAAACACCGATATCAGTATAATCTGCCCTTTCATGGATTTGTTGTCAGAAATACAAAAGTTAATGATTAAAAAACGTAAAATCGGTATTAAATATATTTAATTGACAAAATTTTACAGATATGTTTTTACAGTTTGTCCTTTGCAGTGTTTGTGCTATATCATAAACATTATTACTTGATTTTGTATTTATTATGTTTTTTTGTTAATGTTCCTATTAAGTAAAAGAATATTTTGTGTAAAGTCGTTTACATAAGTATCTCTGTCTAACTTCTGTCTCTGGTATGAAGTAACTCTTTTTATTCTCACCACTGGACTGGAGTATCACAGTGGCAGCTGTTTCCATTACACGACATTCAACGTCGGGCGGCTCGAATTATTGATGATCAGCGCCTTACTATCCGACTCGACCCGCTGAAATTGTGTAGAGACGTTGCAACTATGTGCATCTTTTATCAAATGTATTAAGAGAAGTGTTCTGAGGATTTGTTCTGAATTTTATCATCGTATAATTTGTCACAAATCTTTTCTGTGGGCGTCGTAAAAGGCGACTAAAGAAACTTAATGGTTGAGGAATAGACAGCAACGTGCTTTTTAAAACATCTCTAAAAGCCTAACTGCCTTTTCCAACGGTTGTCTTGAGAAGGGGAAGGGATTGTTAGTATTACAGACTACCAACTCCATTGCTAATAATATACCCTGTCAGGTCGACCTCCACGTGGTCCCCCCTGGAAACCATCGTGCTGAATTCTAGGTGTATTCGTCACGGTGGGCTAACTGACATGCCTTTTCATTCTCGCCTATTATACCTCACTGGTGCCCCGCCAACGTATACCGATAGCGCAGGCGGGGCTACCATTTCATTATCATCTATCCTAAAACCCATCTGCTAAGCTTGGCAACTACTGGCAAAACCCTTTTTATGAGGAAGACTTACATTCAACAATGGACAATTATCTACTGAAATGATAACTTGTCAGAAACTAAAATCCTATCCCAATTATTTGAATGCGTGGCGGTCGTTCACCGTGCACTTTCTTCCACGCTTAACCACGCTTTATAATCATTTTCCATCAACGATCTTTCTGAACCGTTACAATATAGTAACCTTCAAGAAAAGAGCATACTCCTTTTCAAAAGGCCGCCAGCATACCTGCAATTCCTCTATTGGTGCAAGTGCTCATGGAAGGCGATAGGCACTTACCATCAAGCGAATCGCATGCTCGTTTAGCCCTGTGTAATAAATATAATGGCAGTCTTTCAGTTTAACAGAAGGATAGGATATAATAGTTAATTAGCAGAGAACGCCATAATGTTATATGGCATTGTCTGTTAAAAAAGCTTGTCACTTGTACTAAGTTTTATTGTATAATAAAAAATAAGTAAATAAATATATTGTAATATCTTTTTCATTTGAAATTACTAAACACAACGAAAAAATATTTTTTCTCAAACATGTTTGGGAATATGAGCATTCAAAATTGCCGTACTGGGCAGATACATGCGGGCAGCGACCGGCAAAAGTTGTATGAAATCCATATCTATCGGGTTTTGCGGCCAGATAAATTACTATGTAAACTCATATCTGTCCTGTAATTTAAAAATAGAATAATCTTTTACTTCGAAACATGGCTACCTAGGAGGTAACTAATAAAAGGTTTTATTTAAATTTCGAACTGGCTTGATATAAATATAGAATAGAAAGCTGTTTATTGAAAAAAAAGTGTTTTTGATTTCCGCGCATTGTTTGAGAAAAGTACTATACAAGCCTTGGCCACAATTAGGCATTGATGAACTCACGTATGTGTGCCTCGGCTACGCCTCGGCCTACATTTGCACGTTCGTCCATCAATGCCTCAGTTGCTGGCCGCTGCAGTAATGTACTATAGTTTCAGCAATTCAGTAAGAATGCATAATAGGTATCATACTCATATATGATCATACACGTAAAGATAAATCTATTACCATTAGCTTATTTGCTTATAATTATAAGCTGATGATATACTCGTATATAAACCTCGAGCCCATCCCTCGATCATTAAGTTCCCTTAGCCGATTTGATTTGATTGATTTTTATTCTTGATTTTTATGAAATTTTGAATAGAGATGATTTATATCCTAACTTAGAACATAGGATAGTAATAATATATAATATAATATATAATACTATATATAATGTAATAATAATATATAGCTATATATTTATACACTGAATTTATGCAGTTTTTTATACTACTTAGAATGACAAACAAGCATGGTAGAAACACAAATGGGACAGAGGTACCCAAGCAATCGACTTTTGTACAAAGTCTCCCTCTGATAGAAGAGTATAGTGTTTCGGTACTAATGCAGTAAAGGTATAACGAAATCCAACAAGGGTTTTTTTTATGGGTGAAAATGGTATGGTAACCCCGTCTGCGCTAACGGGATACGCTGGCGGAGCACCAGTGAAGGGTGATAGATGAGAATGAAAACAGGCCAGTTAGCCCATCATGATGAATTTATCAGGAATTAACCATGATAGTTTCCAGGGAGAATAGCGAGAAGGTGAACCTGATTGGGTACATTGCTAGTAATGGGATTCTCAATCTCCATTACTAACAATATCTTTCCCTCCTAATCCAACAAGGGTTATGTGCCATTTTATAATGGAACCCTAAAGCAGTCTATGGAATCCTAAAATACATAAATAATTTGACATTGTTAAAACGATAATAAACTGAAACAAAGTATCAAAGTCATCGATCTGAAATTAAAGTTTTCGAATGTTTACTTCTATAAATAGAACAGTACCTTTTCCGCGTCATGCCAAGTTCGTGCTTGAATGATTTATTTAGTTTTAACAAGTCTCAGAACGGGGGGGGGGAGGGGGATTGTTTCTAGAAACTACCAGCGAATCCACGAAAACTATTAAAGTCAATTATTAAGATATTAATTTTCTATTTTGACTCCTACGAATATGTGATGAATCGCGCAATATTACTTGATATTATGTGCTTAATATTAGCTTAGAGTTTCAAACCAGCTAACTGTGTCTTCTGCATGGCAAACTTTATAATTGATGATGGCGTCGTAATATTCATTAGTATGGGAATATCGTGGTTTAGTGGTTTACTAACAAAATCCCGTGGCTTTGTCCACGTGATTCAGTATAAAGTACCCTCAGATTATATAGATAGAGCATCGAGCCTCGTAATCAAGGCAACTTTTTGTCACCTAATTGCCAAATTAGCTGACCCGGTTTTTTTAATAATGTTCTACATACTTACGCACACAATGTATTTTGACGTATCTATATTTAATTATTTAATAAATAAAATAAGTTGTTGCGCATTAAAAAGATGCAGAATTTATAAGACAAAATAAATATAGGAGTTATAAAGCAATCACTCCTAACTATTTATCACACAAAATTATATGAAAAAGTTGACCCGCTTTTCTCGAAACATTTGTATGGAGACTCTATATAATCTAAGAAAGTACACTATGTGTTAAGGTAAGATATAACCTACCAGTTCATGAAATATCAATCAAATCCGTTCAACAGGTTAAGTGTGATTGGAGAACAATTTTTTTTTTTACAACTTAGAATGGCAAACAAGCTGACGGCCCACTTGATGAAAAGTGGTAACCGTCGCCTATAGACATGAGCTGTACCATGGACATAACAGAGTATACTGTTTCGCCCATGATACCCCCATGCGTTGCCATTCCTGAGGACTCAGGTGTTATTCCTCTGTACCCAGTAAATTCACGCCATATTCCACCCTTCAAACCAAAACACAGCCATGCAAACGCAACTGCTTCACGGTTGAAACACGAATGGGACAGAAGTACCCAAGCAATCGACTTTTGTACAAAGTCTCCCTCCCAAAATACATCTTAACAAATATTCATATTTATAATATCAACAGGATTACTGTCTGCTTAAAATAAAAATATATATTGGACATTTGCAAATTTATCAGACAATATCCAAACTCATATACCACACTAGATGACGTGACACGTCGCTACGAATTGCGTTATAAAAACCACTTACTAAACTTAAGTACTATATAGTTTTGACTCTTATTCAATATCAGTATTAATTTATAATAAACTACTAATTTATAGAAAAAATAAAAATATATATTTAGTAAATTTATTAGCTTACTAAAAAAAATACTTCTACAAAATAAAATAATATAAAAGTGTGTCTGAGTGACAAAAACCTCTAGTTCTATCGTAATAGGACGTCTCTCGCTCCTACTACAATACCTGAAAGGTGCATATTTTTATGACAATTTGTTCTATATTTTTCCATATAGTACGAATCTATATAACAGTAATGTAATAAATAAATATGACTTATTGAAAATAAAAATAAACAAATACTAATAAATACAAATGAGTTATTTTCACGAACATAAGCCACAGCCTGCGGGAGGAAAGAGATTGTTAACAATGGATTTTGATGGCTTATTGCTAACACTATACCCTATCAGGTCAACTTCCACATGGTTCATCCTGGAATCCGACGAGAATATTTTTTGAATTCATCACGATGTGCTAATTGGCCTCACCTATCATCATTCACTGGTGTCCCACTTGTGTATACCGGTAGTACAGACGAGGTTATCATTCCATTAACCATCAATAATGGGAAGTACAAATCAAAAATCCATTAATCAACCAACTTGAAAAGAAGGAGGCCTTCAATTCAGTTGTGCGTTTTTTTATGTTTGTTACCTCATAACTCCATCAGTTATAAACCGATTTGGAAAAATCTTTTTTTTTTTATCTGAAAGGATATATGTACATACATTTTTGTTTTATAGAAATTTTATCAAAATCGGATAAGTAGTTTAATTTTTAGACCGTAATAACTGGTTCTGTTACAACTGAAATCGGTTTTATTTGTGAGACATAATCTTTGATTATTATTTGAATGTTTTGGTTTTGTACTGCTCATGTCTATATGCAACGGTTATCACTTTCCATCAGGTGGGCCGTCAGCTTGCTCGTCATTCTAAGTTGTATAAAATTTTTTTTTTTCTGCACAATATTTCAATACAATTCAATGATACCTACAGTTACGTGTTAAAATCGCACCGCTCGTCATCGACAGGGAATCCAACCTCACACGTTTGAGCCTAAATAGTCACTTACGCGGTTTCAGAGAAATTTTCTCCCACGAACGATCGGGCTGTGGAATGAGCTCTCTATCAAGGTTTCCCCTAGAAACTACAGTATAGGGTTCTTCATGAAGCGTATATTAAGGTTTCTTCAGGGTCGGCAACGCGCAAGTGACACCCCTGGGATTGCAAGCGTCTAGAGGCTACAGTAACCATTTACTACAAGACAGACTGCATTCTTGTTTGCCACCTCTGTGATATAAAAAAAAGATTCATGTTTATCTCTTTCAATTTTTCCTAGAAAGTAAAAAAATAGATTAAAGCCATATGGGTAAAGAAATTCGCCAACTCCAGTTCTATTCAGCAACAGCGATGAAGAACGATTTTCATCGTACATACACGGAACACAATACCGGTCGTTACACTGCTGTAATAGTGGGAAATTACCTGGGCCGTGATTTATAATATGCTTTGTGGATACCACACAATATGTACCGTTGACCCCAATAGATAGCGTATCTTTTCTGAAGCCATCGAAATAATGCGAACCATTCACGAAAGTCGATCGTTTTGGGGGAGTGTGGGAATCCGATTCGTGTTCATTAATCATTCAATAAGTTAATATATCAGTCGGCATGAGTTAATTTGTTCCCGAATATAAAGAAATTAAACTTTAATGCAAAGAAATAAAGATGATTTACCTATTCGAATACCAGATAATCCTGTGGAGTTAAAAATTACAAAAAAAAAACTACATTTGTTTCTTTCTCGTTTGACCAATAGGTATTTATAAATTCGTGTAAAAAAGCATCCTATATCCTTTTACCTTAAATTGCATGATACTTACTAGAGACATGAAAACACTAAAAGGTAACAAATAAAGTCACTTTCGTATTTATAATATACATATATGATCCTATTATTATTATAAATGCGAAAGTTTGTACTTGTAAGAACGAATGGTTAAACCGATATTTGTTACTCTTTTACGCAAAAACTACTGAACAGATTTAAATGAAATTTGATACACGAATGAGTTCGATCCTATCTTAGTATATATGATATTTTATATACTGATTCACGTAGATGAAAATATAGGATACAATTAGTGACAGT